TTGTGTTTCTAATTTGGTTACCAAACTTCCATAGCCTAAAAATTCTGTCTCTTTCCTTTATCCGGTCTAAAGTCTTATTATCCATCCATTCCTTTCACTTGTTTTCTCTGTGAGTGCTTCACTGCCCAGTGTGCCACCTGAGGTGGTAAATTAAGTGGTTCTGTCTCGATATGTGTTTATACTTTAAGACTAACTCTTCAAAACCTTTGATTACATCTTCATAATTTTTAACATTCCAGTTTTCCTGTTTTAGTTTGCTTTCTAAAAGTGTCTAATTTAATCTGGGTTTTTCTACCTGTGTGTCTCTTTTTCCTCCTCCTGTCTAATCTATCTTTGCTACAATTGGGTAAGGATCTGAAATATTTTGTTTTTATTGAGCCTGTATGTATTTTTTCTAAGGGGTTTCTGAGTCTGTTATAAATATGGTCTATGCATTGTATATTTAGCCTTATATCCTCTCTAGTATTGTCCCAGATACCTCTATCTAGATCCCATGACATCAGCATAGTCTCATATTCTTAAACGTACACATTGGTTTTATTATTAAAATTTATATTTAGATCCCCAAATAGAATACAGATTTAGCGAATTTCCCATATTGGGAATAAACTATTACCAAAGTACTCATGGTAAGACCTGGACCCGGGATTTACTTTTTCCTTTTAAGTCCCTAATGGACAAAAACAACATCCGTTCAAATTCATATGTATACATATATATGTGCGGGTGTCCGTTAGCACGATAACTCTAACAAAAATGAACTGATTTAGATGAAATTTGGTATAAAGGTGTAAACCTAAATTTACTTGAACGAGTTTGAGAACAAGCATGATCGGACTATGGGAACGGGTGTTTATGGGGTGTTTATGTTTTTTTACTAACATAAAATTTAGCAATTTCTTTCCAAACCATTTTATAGAGCTTAAAAACAAATAATTTAGTATATTGAATCGTTATTACACGCCTAATGGTTGCGGGGATAATAAAAAACATTTATTTGAAAATTCTCATCCTTATGGAGAATAAGTATAACAATTAATTGTAAACTGTTGTAGTTTGCTAGTTTATGGACATATTTTGATCACGTTTGGAAAATGCATAATTTTCTTACTAAACTATTAACATAATAATTTATTTTTGTAACAAAAATACAACCGACTTCAAATGCTCCAAAAATAATGAAATAATTTTAATAAAGTAAACTTTTCTATTAGTCTAGCTCACGTATTGTAAGTCGGCGCGGCTTTGTGATGATTTTTGATACAAAAATCAAAGAGGATGTGCACATTGCAGGCCACCAGCACTAAAAAATCTCTTAAAAGTAGAAAATTGGTTGTTATCACATATATTACCTTTGAAAAATACGTATAGATTGGTTCAGCTAAAAGTGGTTTTAGGGGTAGGTGGTTTTGTTTGCTCAAGATGTAGTCGAAATTGCAAATCAGCTTCCCATTTCAGAAGCAGGCATAATATTTTTGGCAGTGAAAAATATTAATAAACATTCCACATCTACAAATGCATGTTTGGTAATTAAAATATTTAACACTTTTAAGGCGATTGACGATTATTCAATCTCACACCTCTTATGTCGTTTAAGGAATAATTGCATCTAATTTATATTTGGACCTCTTTTACAAATGCTTTGGTTTTCACAATACACCTTAAATTGTCAATATCATACAGCTATTCACTTTGTTTTTATAAATCAGAACATTCAATACTCAAAACAGAATCATACACAAATCAGGTCAAACGTTTAAATACCTTTTCATAGTAACCAAAACAAAATGCATTTTTTAAATGCAACTTATTTAGGCTCCATGACAAGAAATAGTTTATTAATCAATATGAAGCAACTGGTTTATGAAGAAACTTGCTGTAGCTTCATTTAAATGGTTTTAACTAACAGCTGTAGGAATGTTATTATTATTTATTCCCTTCTCTGCAAAAATACAAACAAAATAAATGTTTAATATTTGAGGTTTTCAGCATTTTTCACCAAACAAATATTTTTCTTGTATATGGTACCAAATAGAAAATCTCCTAGTTATTTTGGTGGTGGAATCACGCTGATCGGTAAAAGAATCACAGAGAAATTAGTGAACATACATAGAAAAAAAAACATCGCCACAGAGAACCTCCTCCTTTTGTTGGTAGTGGAGAAATCGGTTAAAAAACACTTTTACCCTCCCTGTTGCTGCAAACTTAAGTACTCGTTAAACTAATTCTATTTAAATAGGGAATCAATGTGATATTTTACGGTGGCATTTTGTTATAAATTCAAATGGAAATTAGCTTGGTCTACCTACAGGTTTGCTGCGGCGGGGTGTTTGTAATTGTCATAATTCCTCCTATTTTTGCATTAATCTCTATAATTGCTTTCGGAAGGGAAAACCACTACAGATGGAAGGGGATCTGTAACTCATGAATGAGGTACTGTATATCATTAATACGCTACATGAAACTTTGTGAATAATAAGACTTTTTGTTTTAAGATTTAACCCCACATTATATATACCAAAATGTTCGTCTAGGTGTGTAGACTTGCAAACTGACCTTACCTTTATAAAAGTAGCTTTTAATGTTCCCGTGTTATCCTTATGACGAACACCATTTGTTTACATTATCAGCTGGTACAACATTGCATCAAAATCGGACAAAAAGTAGTCAAGTTATCGCGTTCACGGACATATATATTAAGGCAATTGAACGTGTTTTTAGCCTCTATTGACATAAAAATGAAAAATTATACCGGTCCCAACTCCAGGTCAACGTGCCACCTATGGTAATAGCTACTTCCCAATAAGGAAATTCGTTAAAAGCGAGAAAACCTAGAAAACTGTATATACTAAAAAAAATTGAGTTAACACCGTGCTGCATTTCTTGAGGAATCATTGACAGAGCCGATTCGCTAACTATGAAAACATAGAAAAGTTATTGAAAACCACCAAGTGGAAGTAAAAGAAATTATGTTTATTTTAGAATCGTTATGAAAAGTAATTATGGATCATTATTATGGACAACCTAATGTGGCTATGAGTGGGAAACATATGTAAAAACATTAATACCCCCACCGCAGCAAACCTGCAGACTAAGCGAATTTCCATTTGACTGATTGGATTTACACTGAAATGTCTACTTAAAAATATAACATTTATTCTTGATTTACATAGAATTAGTTTAAGAAGTACTTAGGTTTGCTGCATCAGGGAGGGTAAAACAGTTTTTTTTTTGTAAAATGTGAATAGTTAGTAAGAAATAAATACATTTTCCAAATTCGATCAAAATATGTTCACAAACAAGCAAACTACAACAGTTTACTTATTCTCCATAAGAATAACATGGATATTTTAAATTTGCAATTTTTTGGAATTTTCTACGTAAACATTAGGCGCATAATAACGCTTCAATATACTAAATTATTTGTTTTTTTAAGCTCTACAAAATGGTTTGGAAAGAAATTGCTAAATTTTATGTTTTTTGGGTCAAAAATGGGAAAAACCTATTTTTACCCCATAAAACGCCCCGTAAACCCCTGTTCCCATGGTCCGATCATGCTGGATCGCGAACTCGTTCAAATAAACGTACGTTTACACGTTTATACCAAATTTCATCAAAATCGGATCATTTTTGCTCGAGTTATCGTGCTGACGGACACACACACACACATATATATTATTTAAAATATATATTAGTAAAATTATTTATTAAAATATTTACTGACTATAAACTTATAAAATAAAATGAAATAAAATAATTTATAAACTTTTGAATAATTTATTTATAATTTATAATTTATTTAAACAATTAATTTAAAAAACAAGATCAGCTTTAAAAAATTATAAGATATTTACAAATAATGTTGATTATATCAAACTGTTATGTACATCGTTTTTCCATAATCTATGGGTCAATCCTTTTAAAGTCTCTTTTCTATATTTTCTATCTGAGTTTGCAAATTGGCCCTTTCAATGATTGCTCAGGAAACGCAGCACACTCATTTTTCTTTTAAGTATATACAGCTTTCCAGGATTTCTCGCTTGAGATACGGCAAAATGGTAGAAATTCTGGCACATTACGTGAGAATCAAATTTTGATTATAAACAATATTACAACAAAAAAATCAAAAAGTCCCAAAAAAATTAACATTATTTTTTATGAATAAAAAGTTACCACGAACATTTTCAAAATCCACCCTTTTTACATTTTCCCACACCTCTAAATTTCCAAAAAGTCCATAAAATTGTTTAAAATGCTAATATCTCGAAAATGGCTTAAATACGGCAAAACGGTTAAAGTTCTGGCACACTATGTGGGTACAAACTTTTTATTATAAACAATATTATAACGTAAAAAAATCAAAAGCTCAAAACAATTTTTAACATTTTTTTATGTGTACAAATAACAATTACCACGAACAATTTTAAAGTCTAGACTTTTTGACACTTTTCCAAACCTCAAAATTATCTAAGTCCATAAAACTGTTTAAAAATGCTTATATCTCTAAAACGGCTTGAGATACTGTATCCGAACGGTATAAATTCTGGCACACTACGTGGGTATCAACTTTTGATTATAAACAATAATACAACATAAAAAATTAAAAGATCAAAAATTTAACATTATTTTACATGGGTTTGTAGGTGAGTGAAAAGTGTTGGTTAAAAAAAATATATGTGGATTTGAAATGTTTATGGAGTTGGACATTTGTATTGGATGTATAGGCAAAGATCAGGAATTTTGAAAAATTGGCTAAAAATGATCCCCGTGTTATTCTTATGGGAAAAAACGTCCCAAGTCATGTCTCTTTCTCCTATTGCCCCCACTATCAGGATTGATTACTTTTCTGTATTACTGTAGTCAGTTTTATATTGTTTAAACTTGATTAAAGACACCAATTAAGGCTTGGACAGCTGGTACTTTCATTTTAAGAAACGTATTTTTTGAAGCTAAATTATAATACATCCAACACATCAATTTTCCTAAGTATTTGGACTTACCACTAATAAAAATAGTGTCAGCGATATTGCCAGCAGGAGCAGCGATGTAGACATCATCTTCGCCTGGCTCCAACTGAACAGTTTCACAAAACCATCTGGCAATTAATTCGCTTCTGACTTAACAGCCAATATTACGACTAAACCATCAATCTTCAACGTTTTTAGCGTGTTCATCACTTGAGTTACAAGTTTTATGCAAAATTCAAAACTGAGCAACCAAACAAATGAATATTCTAAATTCATGAATTATTTTTCTTCTTCGTCTGTTTTTGCACGAAACTCACGACCGAAAAAGAAACTTAGCTTTGTTCCTAGGTTTAGTCAGTAATAAAGCCACATAAGACATTTACCCAAATCCATACTCATCTTTCACTCACGTTTGGTTTAAAAACAACAATAACACTATACGTCCAAAAATCCTGTCCTTAGTTACGTCCAAAAAATATAGCAGATGTATTAAATCTTTTTCTAGGTTAGATTGAAATGGATGCTATATTTGCAAATAAGTTGCTTTTTAACCAGTCAAACCATTGGTCAACTTTAAATATGATTGAAGCTAGGTTTTTTCTCAGAGAAAACTTTGTCAAATGAGCGTTCTAAAATTGAAATAGATAAAATAAAAACAATGCTTTGGTTTTCCATTAGTTGACCTTAAGATTAATTTGGCGTTATTTAAAACATGGTGTAGGCTATATGATAATAAAACCCTCATTTTACAGGACCTCACTCTAATGGTTATTGCATTAAGCTAATTTATCAGAACATGGCTACACAAATGGGCAATTGTAAATCAAATTCACTATTATGAATGTATTGCATATTAAATAAGTACTCGTTTAAAATAGCTTAACACTTTGTTTTAAGGTTTAACATATTTAGGAACTTTCTATTATAAGATCGCAGAATACTTCCATCACAAAGTAATACAGTATCAATATCCTGATTCTCCCTTTACTTAGTGTGTTGCAAATTACCTGAGGTAACTTGCCTGCCTAACTGGCCTCGTGGAAACGAACTCTAACAATGAATTTAATACTGTCTGAAGTTCCATTAATAAACTGAACACGTAGTTTATTCGCCACCGGCCCGAATGTTAACATGAGTATATTTATATACATACCAGCTTCTATACCGTGCTGAACCACGCCCCGCTCCTGCACCTAAGCAAACCAAATTGGAAGCGAGCTCCCATGGGCAGAGGCTAGGGGCGGCTCACAGCCCTATCTAACAGCAAGACCAACCTTTTGAGAGGAACATTTAAAAACGAAATAATAACAATAATACATACAAACTTTACATCAAAAGCATCTTTTTTACATTCAACAGTCCTGCCAGCTTACAATTTTTTGTTTATCAAAAATTTTTGTTCCAAAAATGTTCTAAGAATGACCTAGGCCTATTAAAATTCCTTCAAAATAAATTAAGAAATTAAGCACAATAACAATAAACATTCCATTAAAAAATCCTTTAACCTTTTGGAACAATCTAAACGGTTGGGGCCCCTCTATCAATGAATAATAGAAAACAATCAATAAAAGCTGTGCTTAAAACTGAATGACGATAAATAATAAACTCTTAAAGTCCATTTAGCAAAAGCAATAATACATCCTACTAATATTATAAATGATAAAGTTTGGATGTATGGATGTATGGATGTATGTTTGTGACAAGTGAACGCGAAAAATACTGGTCGGATTGGGCTGAAATTTGGCATGATGATAGCTCACATTCCCGATTAACATATAGGCATATTCTTATTTCAAAAATCCTTTCGGGCTCCGCCCCAGTGGCTCTGGAGTTTCCCATGTTAACCTTATGCGAAATGGAATTATTGAATCTCAACAGCTGTTTCAACTAAACAAGTTGGTTCTGTTCTATGATGTTCCTGGAGGCGAGTTAGCGTAGCGAACGAGCTAACCTGAAGGCAAGTGAGCGTAGTGAACGAGCTCCAACCTAAAGGTGAGTGAGCTTAGCGAACAAAATTTAACCAGGACGTGATTGAGCCATGCGAACGAGATTGAAAATTAAGAAGTTACGGGGCAAAGCCCGCGGGTTACAGCTAGTTTCTACATATATAAATAATAAACACACGATTATCACTAGTTAAAACTAGCGGCAGACGAAAAAGATTTGTTTGGTGGGCCAGGCAAATAAACAAACATTTCTAGATTGCATCATCCAACTGGTTCATGTAATTAATCAAACAAAAACACTGAAAGCACTATGGGCTTAATTCCTTGAACCACGCCCCCACTCCTGCACTCAAGTGAACGAATTGGAAGTGTGTTCCTATTGGCAGTGGCGGAGAGACGGCTCATCATAGCCCTACCTAACAACAAGAAAAGCCGTTGTTAAAAGGTTCAAGAACAACGCACTGGTTGGGAGAAACAGCTGTAATCAACTTTTCAAAACCAAAACAATAACAATAATACATGCTATTACCAAAATTCTCTCAGCTGTCCTACCAGCAAACAACTATTTCTTATTAATTATCAAAAACTAGCTGTTGACTTCATAAGTATTAATAAAACTATTGATTCGTTAAGTTAAGCTGAAATAAACAAAACATAATACAGTACGGTAATACAACAAATAATCACACCTATGATTTCAATCAAGTAATTGCAAGAATAACATACAATAATGTACAGCTGATACATTTTTAACATTAGGTATATAGAAAGTTCCCTTCGGAAAGCAATTACGACCTTAGAGGGCAATTTATGAAATAATGGATAGTTTTGTGGTAGGTTTCTCGTCATGACGAACATTTTAATCAAAAGTTCATGGGTATTTTGGGCTTTATATATCGATTTAGGCAAAGAATCATATTATTAATTGAGCTTTATTTTTTTATATATATAAATAACACATAATAAAAAACAATTACTGTTTCGAACTAACTGAGTTCATTTCTGTAAAAAAATTCACCTTTTATGGGCCCCATAATCATTGAATTAATAATTTAATGACCGATGATAAATGCTATTCGTAAATCAAAATAAATTAAACTAGTGTACCTGTTGCTTGAATTCGAGCAATTTCGAAATATTACAGGCGTTTTTAAACGAACAACCATAATTTCCGATGACTTTAAAAGAGTTGACTCAAAGAATATGGAAATAGTCACAATGTACATAACAGTTCCATATAATAAAAATTTCTTGTAAATATTATCATTTTTCAAGAGTTGATCTTGTTTTTTAGCGTTTTATACAAATGTGTTCCACTCATAGTCGCATTAGGTTGTCCATAATAACGATTATAAATATAAAAAAAAAACATTATTCCTATTTCTTATACTTGGTGGTGTTCTATGACTTTCATATGTTTCCATAGTCTGCAAATTGGCTCTGCACAGTGTTAATTCAATTTTACTTTTAGTATATATCAAATTGTCAAGGATTTCTCGCTTTTTCCATTGTAAGATTTACGACAACTTAAATTCAAATATTAAATACTAGGAGAAACCCGTCGAAATCGACAGTTAGGGGCCTCTTCGTTTGTAAGGGCGTGCGGCTTCATTAGCAACAAATAATGCAAATGACATAGCAAAGTGGCATTTCCAAAAAGCAAAGAATACTGTAAATTGGCTGTTACGTAAATATTGACGTTTGAATGCATTGTTAATCAACGTATCTTATAAAGGATGATGTGATATAGTTTAAAAGGAATATGACCTTTCTGTCATGACAGTAGCTGCTTAAATAGTATTTACTCTTTGTGCCATTTTTACAAGTAAAATGCCATGTTATATTCATCAATGTTACAACCTCGTGGGCCACGGTCAGTAATATAGGCCACTGCAAATAATTTTTCAAAGATAGGTACCGGTACCATTCTAGACTAAAGATAAAAGTTTTTGTTGTGTTTGGATGTTATTAGACACGATAAGAGCTTAATGAACTTCTTCTACAGATAATTAATCTATTGTGGAAATATAAGCCGAATTATAAATGCGAGTTTGGGCATTTTATATATAACTGTATAAGTAAGTAACATAGTATTTTTAGGCTGCTGCTCAGTCCACTTAAGAATACTTTTTTTTAGAGATAAATTAAATGGTTTTTGTTGCTGAGTAGCGATAGTTAACATGCAGAACCATCTTCGTTAGTCTAATAACATTCAAAGGCTCTCTAAAAGTTGAAGTTCTTATTTGTATACATGCCCTTATTATGTTTTTACCAAGCGGAATGAATACATCGAAGTAACCTTTCTGAAAAGTCTGCAGTAAATTGCAGTTTTCCAGTTTAATGACTTTTTAAATCATGCACATATGTCTTCATAAATATTGTAAAATGTTTTATCCAGTTGCTGTACACTAATATTAATTTAACAAAATATGGACAACGTGCCCTTCTGCACTTGTATTATTTTGTATTGTATTACACAATCAAAGACTTTTCCAATGAGTGAACACATCTATGACAATAATCTCATGAACCTATGGATGATCTGTCTAGAATAATATGATAAAATATAGGCAAAAGTGGTAATAAAGGCAGACACCAACCCGTACAATAGATATAAGATATAGTTCAATTAGAAATAACTGTAAGAGTTACTATAAAATGATTGTCAACTGATTTCGCAATGGAACGTTATATTGCAAAACGTGGCATGATACAGAAGAAAATGAATTTTAAAATCAGTAAGTAGCATTGCAAATACTTCTTTTGGACAATTCAATAACTCCCAATAAACGTGTGTTGTTTAGAATACAATTTAAGAATTAACAGCTGTTAAATTCAAAGGCTACGGAATGGGCACACGGGAGGGACTAAGGCTAAAGGTGTAGTGACGTCATATCTCTAGTGGCTAATGTCTTCTCTTGAGGCTACACGATTACCGTAACGAAACGATGTGATTTCAGCGTAATCCAGTAAATTTGTATTTAAATTTACTCATAGCGAGAAAGTTTTGGGGTAGTTTTGATTTTTTCCATTTCTTATGTATTTTGGGGTGCTGAATCCGAATCTGAGGTTTGCCAACAAAAATCCTTGACGCAACATTGACAAATACCCCCGCCGCAGCAAACCTGCTGACTAAGCGAATTTCCATTCGTCTGAATTGATTTTCAGTTAAATATAT